TTTAAGTAGCCATAAATGTAAAATGCTACCCAACTGTCACAAAGGTTTAGGGTTCAGGGTTCAAGGTTTAGGGCAGACTCAAGCGGCCCTCTGATTCGAAAATAGCCGGAAACCGGAAACTTGATACGAGGACCTAGTCTAGGGTTTAGGGTTTAGGGTTTAGCGTTTAGGGTTTCTTGGGCTGTACGAGTGCTCATTATTCAGCCCTCTACAGTAAATACCGAAAGGAAGCGCGGCCAGCTTATTCTAAGAGAGCAGAGAACACCAGCGCAGAAAAGAGCCATGAAGTGCTAGACCAGATGGGTTTAGGGTTTGGGGTTAACCCTGAGCCCAACCCCCACAAATTGAACCTGCAAAAAAGCTTCTACACAGCAGTTGAAAAAAACTGAACTTACCCCCAAAACCCTAAATCCCTAAACCCGAAACCCTAAACCCTCTCTAGCGATCGGCTTTCAAGGATTGGGGCCTGGGGTGAAGAAAACGAAGCCCCGATGCAGAGCCGAAAGCTCCCCAAGAGCCGCCTCGATCTTGTCGAACACCTGGCTTCCACCTGGCGGTGGTCGCCAGCGCCTCGTGTGCAGTGGCTCACTTTCTTGGGGGCTCCTTGCCTTACTATATCTATAGTATGTATACCCCGAAAGCTGATTCTAATTATGAGCCTCCTGTGTAGTGGCTTGAGGAAATAAAGCTTCTGAAAAAGTCTTAGCAAGGGTTCTGTAGGGCTTAGATCCATAAATGTGTTGCACTTGCAATGCTACTGCCCTGTGGCACTTCTTCGCAGTTAGGGCCGGGGGACCCTGGTACTTGGGATTTCATGGGGTTCAGGTTTCATGGTTCGGGAATTCGGGATTGAGGATTTTGGGGTTGAAGGATTCTCAAGGCTCGAACAGCGGAGGAAATTGGCTTTCACTGTCGGTAGTTTTTAAACGGGTGTAGTTGATCTCCGGAGCAAAAGCAGATGGGGTTTTGACAGCACATGCACTACAACCACTGCGAAGATAATGGGCATGATCTTTGAACAAAGCTTGTTGTTCGTCATTGTGGTTAGCACGGCTGCTTTTTATGTAACCATCCGCCTAACCCCCCCCAGTCCTAAAACGTACCTCCATACATATCAATGATACACTTCTTCCGACTACGTGGGTATGGCGATTACCACTGCAAAAGCAACTATATTTGCCTGTACACAGCCTACACATGAACCCCAAACCCTAAACCCTACACCCTAAACTTCCTAAGCCCTAAACCCAAAACAACCCTAAACTTCCCTAAACCCTGCACCCTGAACTTCCTACACCCTAAACTGGCCCCTAAACCCCAAACCCTAAGCCCTACACCCTGATTTTCAACAGCCCTAAACCCTAAACTGGCGCCTCCGAATCCATTCATGGCGCAGCGCACGCGAGGCCGTCAAACGTTTCTCAGGATTCGGCTCCTCCACTTAGCAGGGGCCTAAAGGAGTTGGGGATTTTGGGGCTTCGGGTTTAGGGGTTTAGGGTTGAAGGGTTTAGGTTAGGATTTTGTGATTTAGGGTTTAAGTTTTAAGGATTTATGGGCTTGGGGTTTTTACATGGAAATGGCCGTCTCCAGCTAAAGAGGCCTGAACATGTAGAATCGGGTTTTGGGGTATTTTGTAGTGTGTGCTACTACAACCAATCGGGCTCTGAGGGGATAGGGCTTCCAGGGTGTTGATTGCGTTGTTCAGAAAGGGTCCTACGATTTCCATAACTGAGTTTTGATCTCCTGGCCAGGCATTCAAGGTGTCAGTGCTGCAAGGTATGAGGGTTCAAGGTGTAGGGGTTAGGATGTTGGTAAAGGATTGAGACGGCTTTAGACTTTACGGCTCTTTCGCCTCTCATGCTTCAGAGCTTCGCAGCCCTCCCCACACCGTGGCTTTCGGACTGGTTCACAAGGCATTGGACTTGTCATTGCTGCAGGGTTTCCAAGCTTGGATTTTCGCAATAAAAGGGCCTTACAATTGATACTTGGAACAGGGTTTTTGGGCATAGCAATGCATAGCACAAGATAAAGCTATACTGAGGAATCTTGAGGAACATTATTATTAACTACTAGTCATGAAACGTTTATGAAACGTACTTCTAATACTTAGTGTATATTGCGCCCTCGGTGGTTGCTACTTCTACAACTATTGATGCAGTTTCGCTTCGGACGCAAGAAGGACGAGGACGACGACGGCCACCGCTGCAAATGCCACTACGCCTACTGCGACGACGACGAAGAAGACGACGACAAGTGAGAGCGTAGAAGTCTTCCCTGTACCGTACACCGTATGTCGCCAAATCCTTCTCCCATCAAGGCAATAAACGCTGAACCCCCATCTGTGACCCAAGAACCCTATCTTTTCAATGAAACCATACTAACTTAATCAACGAACCCTACCGCAACCCAATGCCTTAAAACACAAACCCCCCACACAGGTAGGTCTCAAAGGTCGCAGGTAATGCTTCAATTTATGGGATCCTTAAGGGAGGGGGTTCTAAGAGGGGTATATAACCCATAATCCCCAATTCTCCCTAGGGCTCCCTTAGGTTCCCTAAAGCTCCCTAACGATCCCTAGGACCCTGCCCGCTTGAACCACCCTCCCTTAAGGATCCGATAATCAATTGCATCCTGCTCTCTGAACCCTCCAGGCCCTAGTCACTAAACCCAGCACTGGCCCCTTGGAGTCCTCTAAAACCTCAAAACACTCACGGGCCCAAGGGTTTGGGCGTTTAGGGTTTAGGACTAAAGCGGACCGGTTTAGTAACCCTAAACCCTAAACCCTAAACACCAATGCCAATGCGCATGAAAAGCTGTCCAGAAGCCCCTCGATGAGCGACTTGGCCTCCGGATCGACCTTGCCAATCTAAGGACTTTAGGAGGGACCCCTAATAGGGACCCTTAATCCCATTACCTTAAATAACCATTGTATCGTCTCCCTATTACACCAATAACCTACAAGGGTCCCTATTAAGGGTCTCTCCTAAAGCCCTTAGAGTCAAGTGGGTGTTGAGGCTAACGGTGGCAAACTGCAGGTTTAGAGCAGGAGGGCTTCGCGCTTGTTGTGTATATAGCTTAATGATGTACACCCTAAACCATAAGCCCGCAATGCTCAATGGCTCTTGTTGGAGTTTCGTGCCCTCAGGTTTCAAAACTGAGGCAAGGGCTCACGGATTGAGGTTTTCGGTTATGGGTTCGAATGCAGCTTTAGGAAAATCGTTTCATAGAACTCAGAGCTAGAAACCCTTCTCGACAACACTTTTGTAGCAAAACGCCTTAGAAAACCGTTGCAAAACCCTACCAGCACCATCAAACCTGGTAAACCCTTTCATGCGGCTTCTCAGTATCGATACATGCCGCAAGATCCCGTCCTAATGGTAAAGGCTCTATGTTGCATCTTTAGGACATCCGGCGGCGAGTTTCACCGGCACATGCGTAGCACTAAATCCTGAAACCTGAATCATTGTGAGGATATGTGGGAGTTTCCGAAAATCAGGGTACCATATTTTGGGGTCCTTATAATAAGGATCCTACTTTTAAGGGTACTATATTAGGCTAAACCCTAAACCCTAAAAACCCTAAACCCTATGGTCCCCTATTTTCGGAAACCCCCAGGTGAAGGGCAGGACTTCAAGCGCAGGCACGACGACCAAAGTCACCGCGGGGGAGACCGGTGGTTCGTAGAAACCCTACTGTAGAGTCTTTAGAGGATTTAGGGTTTAGGGGGTCTTTAGAGGATCAGGGGACTTTGTAAGCAGGTTCCAAACACAATTACAACTCCCCCGCCCATTTGGGGATAACCATGAATACACACATATATATATATATATAACCCACCTACTGCTATACTGGTAAGCCACCGGAACCGTTTAAGCACATATTTTACCGTGTCGTGTCCGCAGTCGAATCCAGAAGCTCGGCACAAAGGCATCCCCATGATGTTCAAAAGTCTGAATTGTAAATCCTGATTTGGGGTCATTTGCCGTTATGAAGGAACCGCTTATATCAAGGTTTCTATAAGGCTGTGGAAATTCAAAGTAAGACCCCAATACTGCGCGTGCACAAGCCTTAAGAGACCCTTCGACAATCTTTGTAGGACCCTTTCGAAACCCGAGATCCTAAACCCAAAAGTTTTCAGCCGGGCAGGCGTTGTCAATCGCCAAGGTGAAGGACCACCTCTTGCTTTGTGCCTCCGCGCGGGTTTGAGGTACACAGCGTTTGGGGGTTGAAAGGCTAGAGGTTACGTGTCGGGCGATTAACACCAAGCTGGCAGCTTTTTCTTCACAGGGCGGGCCAAAGGCCCCCTTTGTAGCCGCAATGTGCAATGTCTGAGGGACCTTCCTATGGGTTCGTTCCTGCAGGGTTCCTTAAGGGATCTGCTAGGGAAGGGTACTTGAGAGGTTCATGTAGGGAGGGCCTTTATTGCTCGTACCCACACAAGAACAAGCCCAAAACGTACACCCATTCATTCCGCAGATCCCAACATGCAGTCACAAAACACCTGGATGTGTAGCTTTGCTGGTCAGCCACAGGTTTAGGGTTTAGAGTTTAGGAGTTGAATAATATACCGAAAATAACAAGTAAAGTGTACGGTGATGCTCGGAGTGTTTTCGTCCCTAACACAGCTAGCGCTACAGCATCATGTCCTGGGATGACTTGACTGACCAGACTGATCGAGAGGCTCCATGTACCGATATAGATATACTATGATATACTAGGTTCCCCAGTAGCCCCTTAATAATAATAGGGTACATTTTTTCCTACTATTTCATTTTTTCCTACTATTTGGGTTGAATAAGGGAACCCAAACAGAAAAAGGGCAAAAGGGTACTACCGGGGAACCTAGTAGAAGCCCCAAAAGTTGGAAACCCAAGAGCCTCAAGCCTTGAGAGTAATGTATAGGGTTTAGGGTTTATAGGGTTTAGGGTTTAGCTCTGGGCTCGAGGCTTTCCCGTAGTGGAGCTGTTGACTACTGAACATCGAGAGATTAGACCTTCGCCATGTATGGGGATCCTTCGGTTTCCTCTTTGAGTGTTGGACAGCTCATCGATGTTGTTGCGACAGCGCAAGGGCGTGACCAGCAGGCTGCTACTTTGCATCTTTGCTGGCAAGGCGAGACGGTTCGCTGTGCGGGAGCTTTCCAGGTCGGTGCAACCTACACGCTGTATGGTGTGCAGTATAAGGGCATTCAGGGCAGTTCTCATTTCCTTCAATTGCTTTCTGGAACAGTGGTGGTGGAGCATCCAGCCCTCACTGTAGACTCTTTTCGTGATGTCAAGGAAGTGTGTGCTGGCATTGGTGGCATCACAGTAGGCTGTGAAAGCCTTGGTGGCACTTGTTGGGCTGTTGCAGACAATTGTCCTTTGGCATGCGATGCTCTGCGCATGCAAGCGGCACCCGTTGTACAAGGTGATCTTGCCGAGCCGCAGGTCAGGCAGCAGGTGCATTTGGCGCAGACTTCTCGGAGGTGCTTGCTGGCTGCAGGTATCCCATGTCAAGGATACTCGAGGCAGGGCCTGATGCTTGGCTTCTGCGATTCTCGCAGTCATGTTCTTTGCCACGTGTTGCAGCTTGCTTGGCATTCACAGTCAAGTGGAATTGTCCTGGAGTGCGTCACTGAGATCCAACAGCACCCAGATGCAAGGGCCTGTATTTACGACTTTGCCAAGCACGCCGGTTTTCAGGTTTCGGAGGTTGTCCTGGAGCTGTCGCACCAGTGGGCATCGAAAAGACTTCGATGGTGGGCCACGCTCCTGCCGGCCAGCATGCCCAAGTTCGACTTGCCTAACTGGCCTCGCTGTGAGCAGGTCTGGACTGTAGGTCATGTCATCCCGGAATGGCCTATCTGGCCCCATGCCGTTGAGTCTGAGTTGCTCTGGGATCCCATTGAGCTTGCAGCATATAACAACAGTGCTTTTGGCGCAGACACTAGGACACTGGCTGCCAACATGCAAGCCCCGACCGCCTTACATAGCTGGGGCAATGCCCTCCGTGCGTGCCCTTGCGGCTGCCGCGCTGCTGCCTTCAGTGAACAAAGCCTGCGCAGCCGGGGACTTCGGGGAATCGGTGTGCCGTCGGTTCCTTTGACTGAGCAGCGCTTTCTCCATCCTCGCGAGGTTGGCCTGCTCAACGCCCTGCCCCCTTCGCACCCTTTGCCTGCCGGTGCAAGGGCAGCTTTGTGTCTTGTGGGTCAGCTGAGTTCACCGCTTCAGGCCATTTGGGTTCTTGTACACATCCGTGTCTGGGCGGCAGAACACCTAGGTGGTCAACCTGAGTGTCCGGCGGACGCATTACAGCGTTTCCAACAGCGGCTTTTGCACCAGCGTCAGGACAGCTGGCTCACGCCATCGTTGTTGGCAGGCGGGACCATCTTGCTTTCTGGCGAGCACTTCTCGCGCCGGCTCACTGTCGCGGAGCCCGTTACCGTCGGTCGCCTTATGCAAGCTGCTAAGGCTGTACTTGCAGCAGGCTCCTTTGTCCGGGTTTGTGTTGGCGAACGGCCCTTGCTTGCCTTTGCATACCTGCACCCGCAACCCACGGGCCCCACATATGTTGTGCAAATCGTGGCAAAACGTGCCCGTCTTGGTGAGGACTCCGCGCCAGACACGCTGTCTGAGGTGATGGCGCAGCTTTCTGATCACGCCTTGGTCGCCGCTGATGCTGATTGCCCTGCTTCAGAGGGCCTCCCGCTTCCGCTTGCCAATGCTCAGCTTGGGCCCCGTGAGTACAATGCCCCCACCCTTCCTGACTCGCCGGCCTCCCTAGCTTCTTCTTGTGTTTGGCCAACAGCGTGTGTGCCGGCTTCAGCTGCGCTCCTTGAGCATGCGTCCCCGCCTGCCGCGGAGGGCTGCAGTGATCTTGCCATCTGGTGTGGCCTTTCGGCTGTGTTAAAGCTCCACCCTGCACTTCCAGCTCTGTTGCTGCCACCTCGTGTCGCTGATGTGCTGCTGGGTATTGCCAGGTCAGGCCAACCCCTACCACCCTGTTTGGCCGCTGCAGGCCCTCTGTGCAGTGGTCAGGCCCTTCTTGCGCCCTTTGTGGACAACGGGCACTGGACCCTCTTGGTGCTGCGTACCTCCGGCCGCATCGTGCAAGCCCAGGCTTTTGACGGGATACCGGGTCGTAATACCGATGGCGCCTATACTCTGGCCAAGTCGCTCTGCTTCTTGGGCGGGTGCGACCTAGACTCCTTCAGTGAAAAGACCATCTGGAACCAAGTCCGGCCCAGCGACTGTGGTGCCATTGTGTTGGCGCATGCCCTTAGCCTTTCGCCCGACTGTGATTGTGACAATCTCCTCCAGACTGCAGCGGCTTTCCTTTCTGCCTTGCCGCCCCTTCCATCGGACCTTTGGGGATGCGGGGGACTTGCGCCCGAGCAGGAACAGGAGCTGCAAAACCTTCTTGTTCAAAAGGGAGTACCGCACGAGCTTGTTGCATCAAGGGTGCAGTCTGCTGTTGCTAAAGTCGGTGCTGGTGCCCTTGCAGGGGCCCTTCAGCAGAAGAACGCTTGGCAAGCCTTGAAGGCGGTCGCCAGTCGACCTGGCTCCTTGTTTAAGTGGGTTCAAGCAGACGAGCTCCAGGCACACATCGAGCGCAAAGCTCAGGATCGCTTCGGCACTGAAGTCAGCAAACCACGGCAAAAGAAGCAGAAGGCGGCCAAGCGTCCGATTGCAGCACCCCTCCATGTTGACCCAAATCAGCTCCAACTCGCTGAAGGCAGCTTCGTTGCTACATCTGGGGCACCGCTTAAGCAGCTTGCTTTCAATGAGGTGCAGGCACAGGCCTCCGGCATCTGCTTCTGTACCACGGCTCAGGCAGGACCCTTCTTGAGTATGGGTCGCAACTTAAGTGTTGATGCGCTGGCACTGGTCACCACGGCC